CTCTACAATAAATCAAAAATGAGCCAGGCGTGGTAGTGCGCGCCTGTAGTTCCAGCTACTACTTGGAAGGCTGAGGCGGAAGGATCACCGAAGCCCAGCAGGTGAGGCTACGGTGGCCGGGAGCGGACACTGCACTACAGTCTGGGCGACAGAGTGAGACTCCAACTCAAAAAACAAAACAAAACAAAACAAACAAACAAACAATTATCCTGGTGTGGTGGCACATGCCTGTAGTTCCAGCTACTTGGAAGGCTGAGGCAGAAGGATTCCCTGAGCCCAGCAGGTCAAGGCTGCGGTGGCCATGAGCATGCCACTACACTGCAGCCTGGTCAACAGAGTAAAACTCTAGCTCAAAAATAAATAAGTAAATAAAAATATAAATAAATGACACATCACAAGTGAATTTTAAATTTTTTTCCCATAAAAAAAAGATATAGAAAATTACCTTTTCGTTTTGGTTGGAAGGACATCAGCTCAAGGGAAGGCAGTGGACGGTAATTGGCCTGTATCATGGGTAATGGAAGGTCTGGCAACACTGGCAAGGCATCGGGGACCTGCAAAGAACAGACCCGTGAATGCAGAGCCAGTGAGTGTGAGCAGAGCTTTCTGGCCTACAGGAAGTCCACCGGAGTATTAATCAGGCAAATTTCACAGGCAGAGCCAGGCCAGAGGGAGTCGCAGGCACGTCCGACACCACCTCAGCCAGGAAATCAATACAGATGGGTTCATCGTGATGGAGTTTCTCAGCAAATTCTCATGGGACACTGTCTACCCTAACAGCTAGCAAGGCCCAGGGGGAACTACTGCAAACCAGATTCAACAGGCCATGCACAAGCAAGCTAAGCAGAATAGTGACAGGGAGGGCCTTGGAGTCCTGCGGGGCTGAAGGGGCTACCTTTCTCGGCTTGGCTGACGCGGTTCCAGCCGGATGCAGCTTCTCTGACTTGTTCTCACTCACTTGAGGCAATTTATGAACAGAGTCCAAGCTCTTACTAGTGCTTTTAGAATCCTTTTTTTTAAGTCCTTTTTCTCCAAGTGCTGTGGTTGAAGCTTTCACAACCTTTTTCTTTTTCTTCCGGGGCTGATCATAGCTGAGGTAGGATTCAAAAGACATCGTGGGCTGCTCAAACTCATCCTCCATATCTGCCTCCTCAACTTTAGGGAGGGAGCCCAAAGACTTTCTGTCCGAATGAGAAGTTTTTACTCTCCCTTCTTGAGTCTTTAGGCTGTTAGAAACTTTCTCTTTTACCTTGGGCAGCAGGTCTCCTGCCCCCTTTCCTGTGTCCAGGCTGTTCAGACTTTGCTTGTTTTTGTCTGACCTGGTTTTCTCCGAGTCTTTGTGCTTTGGCTTTTTCAGGTGGTTGTCTGACGCAGTCTCCAGCGAGGGCAAACACTTCCTCTTGAGGCTGCTGCCCTCTCTTTCCTTCTCTTTCTTGCCACCACTAGAGGGCAGCTTCTCCTTCATGCTATCCCCTGGGGGCGGCCTTCGGTTCTCCTCTTTGGAGAGGGCCTTGTGTGACTTTTCTCTGCTCATAGCAGAAGCCTTTTCATCCACCTTGGAGTCCCCGGAGCGTTTTTCCTTGTGGGAGGACTTGTGCTCCTTGTTTTGATTCACAGTTCCTTTCCCCTGGGGTTCACCCATGTGTCGTTCCTGACTGACTCCCAGTCTGTCCTGAAAGGCATTGCTGTGGCCTTTCCCAGGCTTCTGGTGGGAAATGACAGGCTCATGGTCCTCCTCCAGGGATCTGTAGTGGTCCCCGTACATCTGATGAGGGCTGGCAGATGACAGAGGGGACTGAACATGGCCGTAATCAGAAGACTCATGGTCTGAAGAGTAAGCTGGTGACACTCGGTGACACCTCTTTCTCTCATCTCTCCTCTCATGACTGTGAGACACTTTGTGAGGTCTCTCAACCTCTGAGAGTTTTCTGTGTTTCTTCTGCCTGTGGTCTGGGCTATAGGATTGGCTCCCAGAGGCTTTCCAGGTTTCCTGATAGTCCCTTTCTATCTCCTCCTCCCTCTGAAGAGCATCCCGAGGACGCTTTCGGGAACTGCTCTTCTCAAAGTCCTGTTCCTCAGGCTCAGTGCTTCTAAAATAAAAGACAAAGCAGACAAAGCAGATATAAAGCTCAGTATCATCCTTTTTCAGAGGACAAAGTCACAGAACCTGAACTCACAAAAGAGATGAAGATGGAGAGTTAGAAACAAGGACTTGAGAAGAAGGTAAGTAAATTGTGCTCAGTATTAAAACTCAAGTTTTAATACTGGGAAAACCTAAATGGAAAATGTTGAGTTTAACTAAATGATACAAAGAAGATCAACGGCTGGGCTTGGTGGCCCAGCCTGTAATCCCAGCACTTGGGGAGGCTGAGACGAGTGGATTGCATGAACCCACGGGTTTGAGACCAGCCCAGGCAACTTGGCAAGACCGCATCTCTACAATAAATAAAAAATTAGCCAGGTGTGGAAGCACGTGCCTATAGTTCCGGCTACTTGGAAGGCTGAGGCAGAAGCATTGCCGGCAGGTTGACACTGGGGTGGCAATGAGTGTGCCACTGCACTCCAGCCTGGGTGACAGAGTGAGACTCCAACTCAAAAAAAAATAAAAATAAAAATAAATAAAAATAAATAAAAATCAGCCAGGTGTTGTAGTGCATGCCTGTAATCCCAGCTACTTGGGAGGTAGAGGAAGGAGGATCACTTGAGCCCAGGAGTTTGAGGTTGCAGGGAGTTAGGACTGTGCCACTGCACTCCAGTCTGTATGATAAAGTGACACCTATCTAAAAAAAAAAGGCCTTTTAAGAAAAGGTTAGAAAGAAACACACCAAAATATTAATAATGTTTAGCTTTAAATGACAGAAATAAGTTTTTAATTTCTATTTTTAAGTATTTTCTAATATTCTACAATGATCATGGATCATTTTAATAGCTGAGGCAAAATAGTCTAAACCAGGCAGAAATGCAATAAGAAAGAAAAACTGGCCAGGTGCAGTGGCTCATGCTGGTAATCCCAGCACTTTGGGAAGCTGAGGTGAGAGGACTGCTTGAGTCCTGGAGTTCAAGACCAGCCTAGGTAACGTAGCAAGACCTCTCTCTACAAAAACAAAAAACATTAGCTGGGTATGGTGGTGCACACCTGTAGTCCCAGCTACTCGAGGGGCTGAGGTGAGCTGTGACTGTGTCACTGCACTCCAACCTGGGCGACACAGTGAGTCCCCAACTCAAAAAAAAGAAAAAAAGAAAAAGAAAAACTTTTCTAGCTGCAAATATTTCAAGGACCAGATTTGACCATGAAGATGAGCAAACCTGAAGAAAAATGTTCTTACCGTTCCACAGGAACCAGCTTTTTCCACTGAGCCACTAGGTCCCTGGCAAAGCTTCCGACATGCTCGTGTTTTCGCAAGCTATTTACGGTTTTCCCAACCCCAGTCTCCTACAAATTTGACAAAAGAATTGTTAGAGTAGTGCAACTAAGTTGGCATTTTTCTAAAGAAATAAGCCTTCTGCTTTGAGAAACTCAATAAGCAATACTCTCTTCCTAAAACATACCTTACACATCTCAATGGTAAATTACTTTGTGCCTATGCCTCAAATCTCTAATGACACACACTAGCAAAGCATATCACATTCAGATAAGAAAAAATATTTCTAAAACTTTACCAATAACCAGAAGACCGATTAGGGCAGATGTTAGACACTAAGCTAAAAACTTTGCATATAGTAGCTGAATCAGTCTTTATATTAACAGCTTAAACTCACAGACTTGGATTTAAATCCAGGATTAGTTGATGCCCAAACTAATGTTACTTTTTAAAATTAGCACCACCACATCCAGTTAATTTTTGTAGAGAAAAGGTCTTACCATTTTGCCTAGGTTGGACTCAAACTCCTGAGCTCCCACAATCCTCTTATCTTGGCCTCCCAAAGTGCTGGGGTTACAGGCATGAGATACCATGCATGGTCTTAATTCTTTTTAATTTTTTTTTTTCTTTTTGAGCTGGAGTCTCAATCTGTTGCCCAGGCTGGAGTGCAATAGCACATTCACAGTCACTGCAGACTGGACCTGCTGGGCTCCGGCGATCCTTCCGCTTCAGCCTTCCAAGTAGCTGGAACTACAGGCACATGCCACCATGCCCAGCTAATTTTTCTTGATTTATTATGGAGATAAGGTCTCTTATCTCCATAATAAATCTATTATAGAGATAAGGTCTCAGCCTCACCAAGTTGCCCAGGCTGGTCTCGAACACTTGGGCTCAGGGAATCCTCTCACCTCAGCCTCCCAAAGTGCGGGAATTATAGATATGAGCCACCACACCTAGCCTCTTTTAAATTTTGAAATAAAGATTGCATAATATAATTCATCATTTTACCTAAAGTGCATAATTCAGTGGTTTCTAGAACACTCATAAATAATGTGCAACCATTACTACTATCTGATTCCAGAACATTTCCATCACTCTAGGAAGAAATCCTGCTGGGCACAATGGCTCATGCCTATAATCCCAGCACTTTGGGAGGCTGGGCATAGGATTACTTGAGTCCAAGAGAGAGAGCCCAAGACCAACCTGGGCAACATAACAAGACCCAATTTCTTTAAAAAATAAAAAAATTAGTTGAGCATGGTGGTGCATGCCTGTGGTCCCAGCTACTCGAGAGGCTGAGGGAGGATCACCTGAGCCCAGGAGTCAAGGTTGCCACTATACTCCATCCTAGGCAACAGAGTAAGACACCAAATAAAAAAAAAGAGAAATCCTATTCCTCAGAGTTCCCCCAGCCCCTGGCAACCACTAATCTAATTTCTGGCTATGGATCTGCCTTTTCTGGACATTTCATATAAATGGAATCAGACCATACACAGTCCTTCACGTCTAGTTTCTTTCTTTTTCTTTTTCTTTTGAGTTGGAGTCTCATTCTGTCACCCACACTGGAGTGCAGTAGCTGCTCCTGGCCACTGCAGCCTCAACCTGCTGGGCTCCTGTGATCCTCCAGCCTCAGCCTTCCAAGTAGCCGGAACTACAGGCGCATGCTACCACGCCCGGCTAATTTTTTGATTTATTGTAGAGATGAGGTCTCACTAAGTTGCCCAGGTGTGTCACGAACCCGCGGGCTCAGGCAATCCACTAACCTCAGTCTCCCAAAGCGTGGGATTACAGGCTGAGCCACTGAGCCCGGCTGGTTTCTTTCACTTCCAAAGCCCATGTTCTGAATTTTACTCTATACTCTCTCCAGTGAGAAGGGGATAGGATATAGTTACATAATATTTAATGTTACACAATTCTTACCGCAAGAATGTCTACTGTAATAGGCAAGATGGAGAGTTTCTTCAAATATTTCAATAGCTGCAGAGAGAATAAAACAAACATTAATTTCAATAGCCATAATCGTATTCACCAGAGCAAGTAAGAATAATATCTGATAATTAAGTGCTTACTCTGTGCCAAGTACTTTACAGTAATGAATTTAAGTATTAGCCCTATCTATAATAATAAGTAATATCCCTACTTTGCAAGTGTGAAAACAGACTCAGAAGTTCCTTTACTTGCCCAAGATGCAAGTGGGGTGGGATTCACTTAATTTGTGGCTTCAGATCCCAGCTTCCACCACCACACTACACCAAAGGGAATAAGACATGGACAAGACACTCAGGCCTGCCCACTCTTATAAAAGTCATCAGCAACTATCATTTTGCCCCAATTTTGACAGACTTTATGAGAAGGGTACCAATTTTAGCAAAATTACCCATGGATCTGGCAAAGAGGAAGGCAAAATAGAGAAGTGGCCTCTCCAGGAAAAGAATACCCTGTTTCTAGAAGAGTCACAGTGTTTAATGGCCTTGCTCGTTTTAATATATAAGTGGGAAGCCAAGATCAATTTCAAGTTGCCAGAAACACAACTTTGCTGTTAATGGTGAACACAAAATGGCCGGGTAGAGTAGAAGAGCAATCTGGGTTTGGCCACAATTCCTTCCTATAGTCCTCCCTAAAACTAGGTCAAAATCAGTATAGCAGAGCTATTAAGATGGAGTTCCAGAGTTAAGACAGGCTTCACAGTCTACTGTCACCTCCTTGCCAGGTGATCTCGTACAAGTCACAAACCTCTCCAAACTTCAGTTACTTCATCTGCAAAACAGGAACTGGATTCTGGCTCTACTTCACCAACTATGAGAATTCACTAAGACAAACAAACTATGTGCAGTTCTCAGTCATAGTGCCCAGAACACTATGAAAGTTCAATAAGTGTCTGTTATTCATCATTTCATTCATCAACTAACACCTCTTTCAATGTTCTATGCTTGACCTTCAATCAGATATTCCTTAGCCAATTCCTACTTACTCTATTTCTACCAAAAGTCATGATTGGCTACGCCTTTCTCTAGTAAATGTTTGTGTGCATATAAACATTCTTACCATACAAGAAGTCCTTCAAAGTACCAGTAATTTAAATCAGATAACTGTGACTACCTTTACATTTAAATATTACATAACAAGCTCTTTCTCCTTGTGTGGCCCAGGCTATAATTAATATACCAAATTACTATTAGGAGGAGTAACAATGTTTTTCTGGTCATTCTACTTCAGTCATTACTTAACATGGTCACTATGCAGAGCAATTGAATCACAGGTGATAATCTTGTTTGACTGGAAATAAGTAAGAGGCTAGTGGTTTATCTGGGGAGTTGCACTTTCTTTTCTTTTTTATTTTGAGTCAGAGTCTCACTCTGTCATCCAGGTTGGAGTGCAGTGGCAAGCTCACGGCCACTGTAGCCTCGACCTGCTGGGCTCAGGTGATCCTTCCACCTCAGCCTTCCAAGTAGCTGAAACTACACACATGTGCCACCACGCCCTACCAATTTTTCTTGATTTATTGTAGAAACGAGGTCTCAACCAAGTTGCCCAGGTTAGTCTCGAACTGGACTCAAGCAATATTCTTGCCTCAGGCTTCCAAAGTACTGTGATTACAAGCTTGAGCCAGGGAGCCCAGCCAGGAGTTACACTTTCATAGCTGAGTGAAAAGTAGCCTCTGGCAGGGCTCAGTGGCTCAGCCTGCAATCCCGCGCTTTGGGAGGCCAAGGTGAGTGGATTATCTGAGCCCGCGAGTTCGAGACCCGCCTGGGCAACTTGGCGAGACCTCATCTCTACAATAAATAAAAAATCATCCAGGCGTGGTAGCACGCGCCTGTAATTCTGGCTACTCGAAAGGCTGGGGCGGAAGGATCACCGGAGCCCAGTGGGTAGAGGCTGCAGTGGCTAGAAGCGGCCACTGCACTCTAGTCTGGGCATCAGAGTGAAACTCCAACTCAAAAAAAAAAAAACTATCCTCCACTTCGAATCTGATCACCACCATCATCCAACTCAGGAAAAAGTATGTTGTCACCCAAGCTATAGATGCAAAGATTAATGCCACCTCCTTTTCATAAAGGAAAATTTAAAATCACCAAAGAGGTTAGAAACAAGTGTCACTCCCTGGGAGAGGCTGGTACTTAACAACCAGATGCCAGCCGGGCTCGGTGGCTCAGCCTGTAATCCCGCACCTTTGGGAGGCTGAGGTGAGTGGATTGCCTGAGCCCGCGGGTTCGAGACCTGCCTGGGCAACCTGC